CCCCGGTGTCTTCCCCCAAATCGTCAGTAAAAGTGTGGGCGCTCAGGCGAGCCAGTGGTACACCGTCGGTGCAGCCACCAATGACTACTCAACAGGTGATCCTGTCAAGTACAAGTCCTACGTAGAACGCTATATCGCAGCCATCGCCAAAGACAGCGCGCTCAACCAGTTCCAGCCTCCCAACGTCTCCAGCAGTAGCCTTGGCTACGACGCACTGATGATGGTGGCAGAAACTGCGCGCAAGCAGGGTATCGATGGGACAACGCCAATCGCAGCGGCACGAGACAAGGTGCGTGACGGCATCAACGGCTACAAAACCTTCAAGGGAATGAACGAAATCACCCTCACAGACAAAGGCGATGGATCGAGCCGTACCGGGGTCCTGCAGGTTGACCCCGCATCCAGCACCTGGAAATTCGTCAAGAAGTAATCCGGCTAATACCCAAAGCCTGCGGGTCATCCGGTGCAAAACACACGTCGGATGACCCGCCTTCCCCAACCGTACCAACATCACCATCATGTCCGACCACGCCATTCAACGCTCCCTTGAGCTGGACAAAAGCCTTCGCCGCGAGCAGGCCAGTTTTATCGGTGGCCGCTTTGTAGCGCCGGCCTCGCAACACCGGGTGCCCGTCTACGACCCTGCGACCGATGAGCGCCTGGGCGACCTGATGGAAGCAGATGCGGCTGAAGTGGATCTGGCCGCGCGCACGGCCCGTGAAGCTTTTGAAGACGGCCGCTGGTCAGGGCTGACGGTTGAGCAGCGCCAGAACGCCTTGATGAAAATTCACGACGCCGTGATTGCCGGGCAGTCGGAACTCGCGGAAATCGAAAGCGCCACCACCGGCATTCCGCTCGCACAGGTCAAGGGCTTTTACATTCCGCGGTCGGCCTACAACTTCAAATTTTTTGCGGAGTTCATTGGACAGGTCGGCGGTGACCTGTACACGCAAGAGCCAGGTTACGTCACCAGTGTGTTCCGCGAGCCTGTCGGCGTCGCTGGCCTGCTTGGCCCCTGGAATGCACCCGTCACCCTGTGCTCGATGAAGATTGCGGCAGCGATTGCTTTCGGCAACACCTGCGTCGTCAAACCGTCTGAAATCGCAGCTGCCGGCATGCAGCGTTTTATGGAAATACTGCAAAGCACCGGCCTGCCGCCTGGCGTTGTCAACCTGGTCAATGGCCGCGGCCCTGTCACCGGAACCGCACTGGTCGAGCACCCGGACATCAACGTCATCTCTTTCACCGGCGGCACCACCACCGGCCGTGCCATCCTGTCGTCCGCAGCCAAGGGCCTCAAGGCCTGCACCATGGAGCTGGGCGGCAAGTCGGCCAGCATCATTTGCGCCGATGCAGATTTCGAACGCGCACTCGACGCCGCCCTGCTCGGCATTTACGGCGGTAACGGCCAGCAGTGCCTGGCTGGTTCACGCATCCTGGTGGAGCGGTCCATTGCAGACAAATTCATTGCGGCATTCGTCGCACGTGTGAAAAACATCAAGATCGGCCACCCGTCACTGATGGGTAGCGAAATGGGTCCGCTCGCATCGAAGGCGCACATGGAGCGTGTGCTCTCGTATGCCGAAGTTGCAAAAGCCGATGGCGCAGAAATCCTCACCGGCGGCAAGCGTGTCGAATCCATGGGCAATGGTTATTACATCGAACCAACCGTGGTGCGCGTACCCAGCAATGCAGCGCGCGTCTGCCAGGAGGAAATCTTTGGCCCGTTTGCAACCTTTGTGACCTTCGACACATTTGAAGAAGCACTCAACATCGCCAACGACAGCACTTTTGGCCTGGTCGCCTATGTATGGACCAGCAACCTCGACAAGGCCAATCAGGCCATGCGCAAGCTGCGCACCGGCACGGTCTGGGTCAATACCCCGGTTGTGCGCGATCTGCGCTCAGCCTTTGGCGGCTACCGCGAGTCCGGCATAGGCCGTGAAGGCGGCAAAGGCTGCATGGCGCTTTACACCGAAGAAAAAACCACCATGGTCGCCATCGACAAGATGCCGATTCGCCGTCTCGGAGCTTCCACATGACCGAGGGTATGAGCATGGATCTCTCACGCCTGCCGCCACCTGCCGGCATGCGTCTGGCCATTGTTGGTGGTTGCGGCGGCATTGGCACGCGCCTCGTTGAGGCCTCGCTGGCTGCAGGCATGCAGGTCGCCAACCTGGACCTGGCCGTCTCCATGCTCAAGCGCCCGGCTTTGACGGGTGAGTGGCAGATCGCCTGCGATGCGTCAAAGGCGTCGGACATAGCAAATGGCTTTGCGGAGATCGCTGCGAAATGGG